ACACAGAGATTGCTACAGCACAGACCAAGAAGCTGTTACAGTGGGAGAAAGATTTAGTCGTAAAGAAGGGCACAGGAAAGATTTGGGTACCGAATTACGCCCCGCTACTGCAGATCATATTGAAGGAGCTTCACGACGTACCTTACGCGGGACATTTCGGGAGCAACAAGACGTTAGCAGGGATAGCAAAGTATTACTACTGGCCCGAGATGGCAGCAGACGTGCAGCAGTTCGTCACCTCATGCGACACGTGCCAGCGGATGAAGAGCAGCAAGCAGAAAAAAAGCAGGGTTACCTCAGCCTCTACCTGTATCGGAACAGCCATGGCAGGTCGTTAACCTCGACTTCATCACAGGACTTCCTTCGACCTCACGGGGACATGATTTCATCCTCGTAGTGATCGATAAGTTCTCAAAAATGGGTCACTTCATACCGACCAACGCCACAGCTACAGCTGAAGCAACTGCTCGCATCTTCTTCGACCGCATCATCACCATCCACGGCATCCCCGCTACACTCATCTCAGACAGAGACCCAAAATTCACGAGTAATTTCTGGAAGGAGCTCATGGGATTATTGGGGACCAAACTTGCGATGTCCTCAGCATACCACCCCCAGACTGACAAACAGACAGAACGACTCAATCAAGTGGTTGAACAGTTACTGCGCACAGACAGAACGACTCAATCAAGTGGTTGAACAGTTACTGCGCACAGCTTGCAAGGACGACGTCGGCCACTGGGACACACAGTTACCGACCCTAGAGTTCGCTTACAACAACGCATCACATGCAGCCACAGGGAAAACTCCTTTCTTCCTGTGTTACGGACGGAAACCACTCACACCACAGCAGCCAACCACACCGGCACACGTCCAAGCCGAACACGACTTTGTCACCACCATGCAGCAGCTATGGGAGAAGACTCAGCGACGACTCACCACGATGCAGACCCCCAAGAAGCAGTATGCCGATCGTCAGCGACGTGATGACTCAGTAGCAGTCGGAGATCAGGTGCTTCTTGACACGCGCAACTTGAACCTGTCTCACCTCCCATCCAAACTCCGGTCTCGCTTCTGTGGTCCTTTTCCCCTTGAGGCACAGGTGACACCAGTTACATTCCGCTTGCGCTTACCAGATTCCTGGAAGCTTTACAACGCTTTCCATGTCCAGCTATTGAAACCCTACAAGGACCCCAACCAGCAGTTCCAGGGACGATAACTACCGCAACCACCACCTGTTCTCATAGAGGATGAACCTGAGTATGAAATGGAGCGCGTTCTCACTCATCGACGCCGTGGCGGCAAGACCCTCAAGTTCCTGATCCGCTGGAAGAGATACGACCCCACTGAGGACAGTTGGGTTGCAGAAGCTGATATGGGCAACGCACGCCGTACTCTCAAGGACTAGCTTGTCAAGCAGGGTGTTTCTAATGCCATCCAGCTTTGAGGGGGGGGACGTGTGAGAGTACGACGGCTTATGCCAGCTATGCTTGCTTGCCTTTACTTTATCATGTTATTTCTAGCATATGATAATTATATGCATGCATGAATTACTTGATTTCCTAGACTAGGTGCTTTCCTATATTTTATTATAGTTATAGCACCGAGCTAGGTTGCGTGCACCGAATTCTGGGCTTTTCGGTTGCCACCGAATTGCCTTCTACCGAATTCGGGAAGGATCTGTTCGGGACGCTTCGCGACCCGCGGAACCTTCGCGTAACACCTGGTTACTGGGCCTTGTGTCGAGCCTATATATAGCCTCGTGTTGTACCCAGTTGATAATTCAATTACAATTCTCTTTTCTGAGCTCGATCCTAGATCCTCACAGCTGTGCTGGTCGGCGCGGGGCTGGTCGACCGGTGGGTCGACCAGGATGATGAGGTCGGCGAACGAGGGTCCGACGTCGACCTCGACAGGGGAGGCTGGTGACGCCGAGCTGGAGGGTGTCGAGGAGCAGGACGCTGAGGTGGTGGGCGCCAAACACTGGGACGTCGGGCTTGTTGAGCCGGCAACCGACTGAGCTGGTTGACCAAGCGTGGTTGCCCGGTCGACCAGAATACCCGGGCGACGTGTCGCCGGGGTAGAGTCTGCGAGGCCGACCTCGGGGATGGTATCCCGAGGTCGACGTGGCTAGTGGGCGCAGTCGTTGGCGTGGAGTCGACCTGAGCGTGTGCGCTGTGCACGTGACAAGGAAGAGTGCACCAACCAGCTGCGCGCACCTGCGAAGCAGGTGCACCGTAGTTCTGCGGGTGCAACTCTGTGCAGCCGACTTGCTGCAGTATTGGCGCACCGTGGACTCGCAACGTTGGCAAGTCGCGACTTTGCTCTGCTGGAGCGCGGTCGACCAAGTCGGGCTAGCACGCGGTCGACCGTGCTGCGCTGGAGCTCGACCGTGCTGCGCTGGAGGTCGACCAATAGTTTTGCTAGGTCTGATGTAGTCTTGCATGCCAACTTTGCCCCTTGCTTATGCTTTGCTCCTAGCTTGTGCTTTACCCCTTGCTTGTGCTTTGCCCCTAGCTTGTGCTTTGCCCCTAGCTTATGGTTTGCCCCTTGCTTGTGATTTGCCCCTTGCTTGTGCTTTGCCCCTTGCTCTTTCTTGCACTGCACCCCGTTCTTTTGGACGTTTGAGGGGTGGTGACAATTGGAGCTGGGGGGTCCTTTGATACAACGACGTGGTATGTTGTGCGTCCCATTATGAGTGACGAAGAGAGAGAAAATGCCTAAGGAGGGTCAGAGTGGCAACATGCGTAGGGGTCCCTCACATGCTCGTTATCATGCCAGTGGCATCACATGCAATGTGTTTTGCATCCTCGCAAGAGCCGCCAGCCACCCAGCCATCAATCTTCATGTTCCACGCATTTCTGCACTCCACAAGGAATGTGCTGGGGGTAGGAACGGCAGGAGGGATGGAGAGAAAGTAAGAAAATGTACAATTTTCGTATCTATCAGGAGCGGTTGGCGGATCATCTTGTTCGGGGTTGGAGGGTGTTTCCGTGGTATAGGCCATTGTTTTCCGCAAAAAGCGAGCTCAACTCAGCCAAATCGCATGAACCAAATTAAACCCCACAGCGGTTCCTGGTAGTAGGGAGGGAGTTGGGAGGTGTGGACATATCTGGGCGCAGCATCGCAGTAGTCCAGAGTGCGCTACCAAGTGGGTAGTCACCCGCCAGCTAGACGATGGGCAGACGACTAGTGAGGGGACCATGGTTGAAAAGGAAATGGCCATCACGAGGATATGAGTTGGCCCACATTACAAGGGCAGCTTCATTAAATAAAAGCTGGATGGAGGGCGGGAGAGAGGGGGAGGTGGGGGGGGGGAGGGTTGGGAGGAGGAAGGGGATTGCATAACTTGGCCAGGAGGTGATTCTGTGGATATACTGTTACCAATCCTCGCTGGACGGGGCAACTTCGGGCACAGGAAGCCTGGAGACACCAGATATTAAACCCGAGACATCAGAAATCTAAATCCGGACACTAGGACTTGAACCTGGGACATAAGGAACTGAGCTCAGTACAATAGAAAAATGAACCCGTGACACAAGGATTTGAACCCCGGACACCAGGAATTGACCCGGGCCTTCCCTTCACGCTCACCATGATGCATGGATAGCTCCGGTTTGCTAACCAACGGGATCAAGTGGCATGCTTATATGGTGGGCCGGCGCACCCATTCTTATCCAAGTGTCCAACAGTGCAGACCAGATTGAGCATTTGGAGCTAAGTTAGCACATGCATGCTGCTAATCAACAGCCCGTTTTGCCTAAAGTGCATATGTGAAAAGTTTATGTGTCACGCACCATAAGCCGTATTGTTTTGGCTTGCGTGTTATGTGATGACAGAACATGATTGTTTTTCATAGTAGAGCAGCTATAAAAACCATACACTGGCTTTCAAATCCTAAACTTTCACCTGTCCCTGGTCCAGAATATTAATAAATTCCAATATAAGAAATTACAGAATTTTCTGCAACCTTTTCCGTGCCTTATGCAGCTCTCGCTTGTATGTCTGATGCCTTTTAGAGCCTTTCTACGGGTTAAATATCTGATACGAGCTGTGCTACCACCTAATGAGACTCTGGCGGATGGTGGCGGGTGAGATGGTGTCGCTCACCTTTGGGAGTCGGCGAGGCGAACGCAGTCGACTCGTGAGACCGAGAGGCATGTGAGCAGGAACATAGCGACGAGATGAAGGGACGAGCGCTCCATCGCCGCTACTGCATCCAATATTTCAAACTTGTTCAAGCAAGTACTAGTATCGAAGACGTTTGTCACGATTTCAAGTAAGAACACGCCGCAGGAGAAACGGAAAGTCACAATAACCTCTGGAGAATATGATATTGCGGCTGTTCTATCGCTGACTGGAGAATACGTGGAGTCCAAGGAGAGGTCTATCTCAGAATGAGAAATATATGGTGAGCAGGAATCTAGGCAATGAAAAGCGTTCAGCAAAAATATGAGCGGAGCTCTGGGAGGATCTTGTAAATCCCTCTGGCAGTTGTACCTTCCCTCCAAGAAAATGCTGTCTTGGCGAAGGAATTTATTGATTTCGTCAATTCAGCGTGTTGTGAATTCAACACGAAACGAGCCGACGAGTTGCGATTTTGTAACCAGGCCCACCACCAGGTTCGCGACAAGCAGCTCGCCAACGAGGCTTGGGTGACAACAACACAACGAAAAAGCGGGCCGAGCGAGAAAAGTGACTATTTGCTCATTGGCGCAGATGCAATGTTGACTCCGTTGACGGAGGCGTGGAAATGCACAGATCAACCATGATTTGTGAGAACTGGTGAGAACGTAACATCCGCAAAATAGGTTAGCATCAGACGCGAACTACTGAATGTTTCTTGTGAAAACCAGGATGCTTTTTCGATTCAAAGCTATGGTTACTCTTTTACACCAAAGATGTTGGCTAGGGTTCCACAAGCAATGACTCGACATTATACTACAGCGAACAAGATGTACTAAAAACACAGCAGTGTTCCGTCTCCCCATCTCGGGCCATTAATCCATCCGGCCTTTGAGTGTGCGAGTAATAATTTTGTCAAGAGTACTGCAAGGAAAGGAATGAAACCGATCAGAGGGGTGGTAAACACGAAGACCAAAGAGGATGTGCGGGTAATCATTGTGTTATCAAAGAAGAACAGACACATCATGTGCCATGCACTGTGGATCTCACATGACATGCCAAGTGCCTCCTATCTACTACCGATGATATGACATGCAAACATTCAATAACATGACATGAATGCACTCACAATGCATGCATCCACTCACATGGCATGCATGCATTCGCATGACATGTATCCACTCACATCACATCACCCACTCACACAACACGCATCCACTCAAATGACATGCACAGTGGCACCCCATCTACTGAATGCGTCCCTGTCCACAGCGGCGAGCAGCGCCTGGGAGACGGTTTCAAACAGCTCCTCCGGCTGCAGCCCTCACTCACATGACACGCCAGTTGCTTCCCATCCCACTCACTCACATGACATGCACGGTGGCACCCCATCCACTCACATCACATCACACCCATCCCATCCACTCACATCACATCACATCCATGGACTCAAATGACATGCACGGTGGCACCCCATGCACTCACATGACATGGACAGTAGCCCCCCATCCACTGAGAGCATCCCGATCCACAGCAGCGAGCAGCGCCTGCGAGATGGTTTCAAACAGCTCCTCCGGCTGCAGCCCCGGCTGCCAGTACGACTCGCACGCCCCAAACAGCGACTCGTCCGCCGTGCCTGCCACGCCAAACTCGGGGCACTCCTCACTGCGGGGTGAAGGATGGGCGGGTGGGCACAGGGGTGGGCACAGGGGTGGGCACAGGGGTGGGCACAGGGGTGGGAGGGCAGGAAGAGGGGGAGAGGGGGGGGGGGAGGTCAGTGAAGGCTGCAAGGTGGGGAAAGGAGGGGAAGTTGACTTGTGAGTCGGTCTGACTCGTCCGCCGTCCCTGCCACTCCAAACTCCGAACAATCCACTTTGCAGGGTGGAGCGGCGGTGGGAAGGGGGTGGAGGGTCAAGGGAGGGGGGAAGGAGGGAGGGGGGAGCCAGGAGCAGGGTTGGGGACGGGGGTGGGGAAGGGGGGGTGGAGGGCGGAGAGGAAGGGGTTGGTGGGCGGTAGGAAGGCGGTGGAGAAAGGAGGGAGGGTGGGGGAGAGGAGGAAGAGAGGCTGTCTGTCCAAGAGGCGTCCTCGCTGTGCAATGGAGGGATGGGGGAAGACCGGGCTTGATGAAAGAAGAGAAATGGTGGCAGGGAGGGTGGGAAGGTGGATTGGCAGCGACTCCAACAAGGCACATCGCTGGCTGATAAGATTGAGAGTGAGGCACGGCGCTGACTGATATGATTGAGAGTGAGGTCAGTGGCACCGCACTCACTACGCATCGATGTGGTCAAGTAAAGGGAGGGGGAGTGGGGGACGGAAGCAGCAGGGAAGGCACTGAAAGGGGAGATTGCAGAAGGGAAGGTACTGAACTGAAAGAGAGCAGCAGCACTTACTGTGCGCCGATAAGGTCGGCAGCACGGAAGACAGGGAGATGGAAAAGGGGACAGAAGAAGCAGAGAACGCACGAAAAGGAGGGACAGCCAAGAGCGGCACTCACTATGCACCAATGAGGTCAGTGGCGCAGATGAAGGGCGTGCCATCATCCTCCAGACCTGCAATCACAGGCTCGATGAAGTACGGCCCGAACCTGATGGTCAGGTGTGGGTGAGGTAAGAGAATAAAAGAATAGGGGGCAGGAATGGGATAGCGAAAAGTTAGGAGAGACAAGTATGGGCGAGAGTTCATTCAAGTAATTCGACGCTGCCTCACACTCGCCTGTAGATAGGTGGAGTGGAAGTCGACATGCCGAGGTGCTCCAATTCTGACTTTACCTGAATAAGACTTCTGACAAGTGACGGCGGGTTGACAAAAAAACGACGAAGTGAATGCCGCAGAGCTAACGCACAGCTGTCGCACATGACGCACAGCTATCCAAATGACGCAAATGCGAAGCACGTGGTCAGCACAGTGGAAAACGTGCAACTGCTGATGCTGTGCCCAGCCCCGGGTGGCTCCGGTCTTCCAAGTTCTGACGACCCCCGCAGCTCCAAGCAGACAAAGTAGCAGAGCGTGAGGAAAGATGAGGTGAGGTATGTTCAGCTTGAATCAACAAAAGCATTAGTTTTGACAAATGAGCTTGAATCGCCATGACTTTTCCTGTTTTAAGCTGTGGCTTGAAACCTATAAAATGTATGATTGTTGTGCAACAGTTGTATGTTTTCCACTTATGGTGACCACAGTTGTACAGATGCTTCAAACAACAATAACGCACACACTAACGAGGAGGCAACAACAACGCTGGCAGCACCTGAGCTCGTAGAGGATGCAGCTGACGAGGTGGGCGAAGGTGTCCATACGTGGCAGCTTACTTATGAACATCTGTTACTTATACGTGTAGGTTAGTGTGTCCTTATAAAGAGGATGAACCTGGTCGGGTCTAACCTGCGCTCGTAGAGGATGGAGCTGACGAGGTGGGCGAAGGTGGCGGGCGGCATGACTCGGTCCTCCCTCAGCGCGAACAGCTTGTGGCGAAACTCCAGACGCTGCTTGCTGTGGCGGTGGGGTGGGGGATGGGGGGGAAGGAAAGGGGGGAGGGAGGTTGAGACGAGGGTGTGATGATTGGAAGTGCAGAACAGGAGAGTGGCGGGTGGCATGACTCGGTCCTCCCTCAGCGCGAACAGCTTGTGGCGAAACTCCAGGCGCTGCTTGCTGTGATGGTGGGGGGGATAAAGGGGGGGAGGCGGAGAGGGGCAAGAGGAAGTGCAGAAGAGAGCTGAAACGAGAGAAGAGCTTGTGGAGGAACTCCAGGCGCTGCTTGCTGCGATGGTGGGGCAGAGGGGAGGGGGTGGGAAGGGGAGGGGGGTGGGGGTGGCGAGGGGCAAGAGGGGAAGGGAGGGTGAGTGAAACGAGGATGTGAAAATCGGATGTTGCAGAACTGCAGGCGCGTGTTCTGCAGGCGACGTGGGAGAATCACTGACGGGAAGAAGGGAGGGGGGAAGTGGGGTGGGGTGGTGAGGGGCAAATTCAGAAGTACAGGGGAGGAAAACGATTGGCGAGCACACAAGGCTGTACAAGAAATGGAACTGGCACATGCGTTAAGGACTTAACTATAAGTCACAGTAGTAATAAGCCATTCCCCCACCTCATCCTGCATTCGCTCACCCTGCCCATGTCCCCTCCCCCACGTCAACCATCTCGACCTGCGCATGCGCCCTGCACTGCACCGCACACAGGTGTAGGAGGCACCACGTTACTCATCAGCATGTCACCATCAGCATGTCCCCATCAGCATGTCCCCATCAGCATGTCCCCATCAGCATGTCCCCATCAGCATGTCACCATCAGCATGTCACCATCAGCATGTCCCCATCAGCATGTCACCATCAGCATGTCACCATCAGCATGTCACCATCAGCATGTCCCCATCAGCATGTCCCCATCAGCATGTCCCCATCAGCATGTCACCATCAGCATGTCACCATCAGCATGTCACCATCAGCATGTCCCCATCAGCATGTCCCCATCAGCATGTCCCCATCAGCATGTCCCCATCAGCATGTCCCCATCAGCATGTCCCCATCAGCATGTCCCCATCAGCATGTCCCCATCAGCACATCAGGGTCCTCTCACGAGGCACTCACAGCGTCTGCACATCGGTGCCCAGCCCGGCGAGCCAGAGGAAGAGGCGCGGGTGGATATGAAACACGCGGTTGAAGTCCGTCGCCAGGGTCTGCAGCCGCCATTCCCCTTCACCCATCCGCACCTAGAAATCACCCCCCCACCCCCACCCCCCACTTACAGCGTCTGCACGTCCGTGCCCAGGCCAGCGAGGCCGAGGAGGAGGCGGGGATGAATCTGGAAGACGCGGTTGAAGCCCCCCTGCATCCCCCATCCGCATAACCCATCGGACCCATGCACAGCACTCACAGCGTCTGCACGTCGGTGCCCAGGCCCGCGAGACTGAGGAAGAGTCGCGGGTCCCCCCGCGCACCTCCCGTCGGTCGAACCCCAACTCCACCTCCAATCGGGCCCATGCGCGCACACACCCATGCGAGGCACTCACAGCGTCTGCACGTCGGTACCCAAGCCAGCGAGGCCGAGGAAGAGGCGCGGGTGCATCTGGAAGACGCGGTTGAAGTCCGTCGCCAGCGTCTGCAGCTGCACGCCGAAGCGCCGGTCGCACGCGATCGCCACGCACTTGTCGCCCTTCATCGCGACGACCGCGCCGCCGTTGTACGACGTGATCTGACGGCGAAGGAAGGGGTGGGGGAGGGGGGAGAGAGGCGAGGGCGGGGGTTGAGAGGGGTGCGGGGGTTGTGAGGGGGGTGCGGAGAAGGGGCGTTAGAAGATGAAGGGGATCGCCACGCACTTGTCGCCCTTCATTGCGACCACCGCGCCGACGTTGTACGACGTGATCTGATGACGAGAGGCGCGAGGGCGGGTGTTGGGAGGGGTGCGGAGAAAAGGGGGTGGGTGTGGGGGGGGGGGGGGGGGGGGAGGAGGGGAAGAGAGGGGATGGTGCGAGGGAGAGAGGGGGGAAGAGGGGAAGGAGGTTGTGAGGGCGATGCGGAGAGAGTGTGGGGGGAGGGACGACGCAAGGGGGTGTTAAGGGGGCGCCGAGGGAGGATTGTGAATGGGCTGCGGAATGGGGGGCGTTGGGAAGTTAATTGAGATGGCGATCGCCGCTCGGCTATCAACCGTCCATGCGGCCGCTGCGGAGAGGGGGGCCGCTCGGCGAACACCGCTCGGCTATGCCGACATGGCTGCTGCGAAAGCTGCCATCACCGTCGTCACTACGGGTGGTATCGTGTTTCCACTGTACGACGCGATCTCAAGGAAAACGTGGAAAGAGAAAGAGGAAAGTGGCGCCGCCAGGTCTACGCGAAGCGACGGCCTATGATTGGACGCAAAGATCGGGATCGACGGCTCTGATGGACGGCTTCTTATTGCGCTAAATTTCAACCAGCGGTCCAAATTTGGAAATCGCAGCGGGTATGAGATGGGCCGGGAGGCAACGCACAAATCTGAGCCGTTGATGAGATTTACTGGAAAGTGAGAAATTCACTCGGAAAGCGTGCAAGGAAGAATCGGGAAGGAGACTATCACTCACCGACATGGCGAATCAATCTTTCTGCTTATAGCGCGAACAGACAAGTTGGGCTTTCAGCTTACGACGCGACCAGGCGAATTTACTTGCTGTAGCGCGCAACTAGGCGAATCTAACTTTACGGCAAGCACTGGGGACGCGATTCCTAGATCGACGGCGGAGCGCCAAAATAAGTAGCAGCCAAGTTCGGCGGGGAAAGCAGCTTAGAATCTGTGTCGGCCTGACGACTAGGTGAATGGGAATGCAGGGAAGATCCGAGTGCTTTTATTGCGTGACCCGTTTGGCGATTCCAGTGAGCAGTACAAGTGGAATGCACTTTTACAACATGTTCAAAACACTATTAGAGCACAAACACTACTTGGTGTGTTATACTTCTATCATATGCACAGCAGAAGGAACTGAAGACAGCCACATCAGAAGCTACTTTGGCATGACTACCATCCTAGCCAATCGCGATTTGCAAGCAACCCATCAAACATGAAACTAGTACAAGACAATGTTGCAGTGGCACATGCTGACACGTGCATGTGTGTGCTGTGCCGGTGTCGCTGCAACCACGAATGCACTTCGCAACCTGGTCAGTGTAGTGTTGGAAGAGGGAAATCGGCCGAAAATGGAAGCCAGGGAAGATGACGCAGCCAAGCCATAATGTGAGGGTAGTCGGAGGTGAACCCCTACAATCACAGCTTCCCACCCTTCTCTCCATGCGGCACAACCCTCACCACGCTCCAATGACCCCATCCCCCCATCTTCCCATCTCCCCATCCTCTCATCCCCATCGGCTGGACCGTTGCCGCCCTCCCTCCTCCCTCCCCCTGCTCCTCTCCTCTCTCACCCCATGTCTCCCCCGCTCCCTCTCCCTATCTCTGTCCCTGTCCCTGTCCCTATCCCTGTCCCTGTCCCTGTCCCTATCCCTACCCCCATCCCGATCACTCTCTCTCTGTCTCTCCCGATCCCTGTCACGGTACTGATCCCCCTCCCTCTCTCTATATCTCGCCCTCTCCCTCTCTCTATCCCTCTCCCTCTCCCTCTCCCTCTCCCTCTCCCTCTCCCTCTCCCTCTCCCTCTCCCTCTCCCTCTCCCTCTCCCTCTCCCTATCTCTGTCGCTACCTCTGTCTCTCTCTCTATCCTTGTCCCATCCTCTCTCTTGACCTCGATCCCCCAACTCCCCAACACCATCAACTCCACCTGAAGCTGCACCCATGCTAGCAACCGTCCCTGTCACCCCTCCTCCCATCGCCATCCCTCCCGCTGCTGCCCCTCCTACCCCTCCTCCCCCACCTCCTCCCCCGGGAGCCTGCAGGCCAAGGCTGGCAGCGATGGCAGCAGCCTTGGCTGCAGCCGCTGCAATCGCAGCCGCCACCACGTCTGCCCCCATGCTGCTGCCACTGCTGACACCACCACCAACAGCAGCAGCAGCAGCAGCAGCAGCGCTTGCCCCCCAAGCTGGCTCTGCGACTGCTCCTTGTGGTGCCGCAAAGCCAGAAGCAGCAGGAGTAGCAGCAGAGGGCGGAGGGGGAGGGGCATCAGAAGCAGGGGGGAGAGGCGGAGGGGGCGGAGGGAGGTCGGGGACAGGGTCGTGGGGGTGGGGAGCGGAGGCAGCAACAAAGGAGGACTTGAACTTGGCCATCATGCCCACCCGCAGTGCATCCACTGCCCCTGCTCGCGTGCCCACCCTGCTGCCCCCACTGCTGCCACCAGCAGCAGCACTACCACCGCCAGCAGCAGCAGAAGCAGCATGATCAGTGGGCGTCCCAGCAACACCCAGTGATCCCCCAGACACGAACGCATTTGCCCCACTCCCACGCCCCCCACCTTTCGCCCCCACGCCTCTCCCCCCTCCCCCACCCCCTCCCCCTCCCCCTCCCCCTCCCCCTACCCCTACCCCTCCCCCAGCCCCAGCCCCTCCCCCGGCCCCTCCCCCCTCCTGAAAGCCCAGCCCCATGCCATAGTCCACCCCCCGTGCCCCCCTCCCCCCTCCCCCTCCGCCTCTCCCCCCCTTGCCCTTGCGGAAACCTGTGGAGGGGGAGGGGAAAGGGTGGCGGGTAGAGAGGAAAAAGGGGAGGAGCGGTGCAGGGAGAAAGCAAGTAAGGAGCACAGTAAGCAAGCAAGGGAGCGAGGCAGGCAAGGGGTGCATCCCAGCTTCATGGGACGCAGGGCTCTGTGTGTAGGTGGGGGGCAGGGCAATGGCAAGAAGAAGCAACGGGTGCGAAAAGAGAGGCAACAGACGCGAGAAAAGATACAGGGGGGCGGGTGGGGAGGGAAAGGGGAGGAAACGCTGTGGGAAGAAGGGGTAAACGGCAAGTGGTGGTGGAGAGAAGAGTAAACGGCCGAGTGACTCACCTCCTCTCCCCTCCCTCTGAGCTCTGAACCGAGAATCCTGCCAAGGTAGGGAGCAGAGCAGCACAGCACAGCAAAAGGGGGGTGATAGGCAAAGGAGAGAAGAGATTGACAGCAAGTCATGGGAGAAGACAACGAGGAGACGAGAAAGCAGAGGACCCAGAGGGACACCAGCCCCGCCCCACCCTCCCTCTCACCCTCCTCCTCCCCCCCTCACATTCAACCCTACCCGCATCCCCCCCTCACTTCACCTTCGCCCCTCCTCCCCTCACCTTCATTGCCTGCTTCTGCCCGCCCGCCACCAGGCATCCCACCAGCTTCCCTCGTGCCTCCTTGCCCGTCACCATCGACACACGCCACTCCGTCCGTGTCAGTGTCTCCCTCAACTTCAACTCCCTACCTTCCTTACCCTCATCCCTCACCCCACCTCACTTCACCTTCGCCCCTCCTCCTCTCCTCTCGCCTTCATCGCCAGTTCCAGCAGTTCAGCCAGCACCTCCTGCCCGCCCGCCACGAGGCACCCCACCAGCTCGCCCCCTCGCTCTCATCACTAGCACCCACCCTCACCATCCCCCCCCCCCTTCCTGCTCTCGCTCTCACCTTCATCGCCAGCTCCAGCAGCTCTGGAGGCACCTCCTGCCCACCGGCCACGAGGCACCCAACCAGCTCGCCCGCAAACCGCGCCTCCTTCCCCGTCACCACCGAAATCGCCACTCCATCCGTGTCCCCCGCCCTGCCCGTCCTCCCCACTCTATGCACATGAGCGTCCATGTCCCGCGCACTGTCCAGATTAATAACCGTTTTGATGGATCGGATGTCTAATCCCCTGGCTGCTACATCCGTGGCAACAACCACATGCAAGTCTCCCTTCTTCAGCTGCCGCACCACCTCGCTGCGCCGCGATTGGTCCAAATCCCCGTGCAGCGCGCCGACCTTAAACCCCGCGCCCGCCACCGCCGCGGTTACCGCATCAACTCGTAATTTCGTCCCGGCGAACACGAGCACGTCGCCCTCGTCCACGCGCGTGCCCAGCTCCCCCAGCAGCCACGGGACCTTCCCGTCGTCCCCTGCCAGCACCACCACCTGCTGCCGCACGTCCGTGTTTGCTGCGCCCACCTCCCCCACGGCGATGCGCACGGGGTGGGTAAGAATGTCGCGCGCGAGGCGCTCGATGCGGCGCGGCATGGTGGCGGAGAAGAGCAGCGTCTGGCGGTCGGGGCGGATCTGCGCCACGATGGCTCGCACCTGCGGGAGGATGGGTGGGGTCGAGGCAAAAGAGGAGGGTGTAACAGCATGGCAGCAGTGTTCAGACATAGTTCTCAGAGAGCGGCAGAGCAGTCGTACAGTTAGGCGGCTTAAGCGAAACAACAGCAGTGGTACGATACCTGAGGCTATGCAAAACCAAGTGCCCAACAAGCTCTCACCTGCGGTTCGAAGCCCAGGTGGAACATCATATCGGCCTCGTCCAGCACGAGGAACGTGCAGCGTCGCAGCGACAGCGCCTTCATCTTGAGCATGTCGATCAGCCGCCCGGGCGTCGCCACCACCACCTCCACGCCCCCTTTCAACTCCTTGAACTGCTCGAATTTCGACATCCCGCCGAACACGCCCGCCACGCGGAGGTTTAGGGGTTTCGCGAAGCGCCGTGCCTCCGCGTGGATCTGCGCCGCCAGCTCGCGCGTCGGCGCGCAGATCAGCGCGATCGGGCCCTCCCCGCGCCCCGCGCGCGGCTGGTCCGCCACGTGGACGATCAGAGGGAGGACGAACGCGGCGGTTTTTCCCGAGCCGGTTTTCGCGACGCCGATGACGTCACGGCCGCTGAGGATGACGGGGAGCGCGGCGGACTGGATGGGCGTGGGCGCGGAGTAGCCGTGCTTGCGCACTGCGCCCATCAGCGCGGGGGGGAGCGCGGCGTGCGCGAACGCGCTGATCGGGCGCGGCACGTCGAAGCCCGACGTGCGGATCGAGAGCGCCGCGAGCCGCGCCGCCACGTCGGCTGCTGACATGGCGGTGACGTCAGGATGCTCCTGGTAGAAATCTTTCTCGAACTCGTCGTACTCGATCGCGGAATGGTCTACGTGGCCTAGCGCGTCCATCTTGCTCTTTAACGACGTTACCGAGTCAGCCACTATCGGGTTATCGTCCGAGTCGTACTCTAATGCGGACCCAGCCGCGCCGCCCGCAGCGCCGGCGGCGGCCGCGGCGGCGGCAGCGGCGTCGACGGCTTTCGCGGCGGCGTAGACCTCCTCGTCCGAGTCGTACCCGCGCCCCATCACAGCGTCCGCCGCCACCGACAGCCCCGCGCTCTTGCGCGCGCGCAGGAACGAGTTGAGCAGATCCGCCTCCTCCTCCTCCGCGCGCCAGTCCTCCCGCTCCGGCTTTGCGGCTTCCCCTGATTCTCCGCCCTTCGCGCCCGCCGCCGCCGCGCGCGAAGTGGCGGCGACCGCGTCCTCCTTCACCTTCTGCTCAATGCCCGACATGAACACGTCGAGCGGATCCTCCTCCTCCTCTCCCGCCGCCGCCGCGCGTCGGTTTCCCTCGTCGTCTTCTCCTTCCCCAAAACCAGTGGCCGTCGTGGCGCCCCCCGCATCCCCGTCATCGCGGTACTCGATATCCGCTATATCGTCGTCCTCGTCGTCCGGCAGCGACCGCCGACCCGAGCCGCTGCGGTAGCCGGCGTAGCTTCCTCCTCCGCCGAAGCCGCCGTACGAGCCGGCAGGATTCACGGGCGGCGTGTACGCGCTTCCCCCCGAGCGCACGAAGCCGAATCCGCTGCTTCCGCTTCCGCTCCCGCCCGCACCACGGCCGCGCGAGGCGGAAGATTCGGCGGAAGCATCTCCGCCGGCTGCGGAGAATTTGCGCTTCCACATGCCCAGGCGAAGGGGGGAAGGGGCAGAGGCAGCTGCAGACGAAACTTTCAAACACTCTATCGTGAAACCCTGAGGTACTATTCCTTTCTAGAAAGTTAAAAGAACACGAAAGCAGAGAGGCTGCTACTGGGCCCGGAAAAAGTAGCTACCTATCCCTCCCCGAAAATGGTGCGACTAAGAACCTAATGTTTCTGTTCAGACTACGACTAGTTAGCGCAAGGCATCGAGTTCGAAAACTAGACTCTTGATGAAGCAGTGAGTGTTGTGTTGGTAAAGGGTAACTCCGCTATTGAGTGACACGCTAAAGAAAGTGAGATATCCGTAGTAAAAGAGAAACTGTTATGGGAAAGTAATTCAGGTTCGCTTGGAAGAACCGGTCTTGATATGGCCGACCCTATCACCAACAACACTTGTCCCAAACAGCACGTGTGAAGCCCATTGAGAGATGGACACGTATGCAACTCCTCCGCAACCAAAGATCCAACGGCAAATCCCGATCGAGCCGTCTTACAAGTCCGAATCGCGCATAAATTGTATAACAGCGGGGGTCTGCAGGTCACCACTTACCCGTATTTGCGGGGTATAAAGGAAGTTAGATCCACAAAAAAACCTTTCTTACCAGGACCGGTTCTGTGTTAGTTGAATATTCGAATGATATTCAGAGGACACCCTTCGTGTTTCAGAGCTACTTTCATGTCGACCGAGCCTCAATGTGCTGTCAACAGGGTGTCCAGAAGTTCGGACGTTTAGGCTTCATGTTAAGCATGAACCCATAGGTCTGGACGGAGCACTAAAACTTCGGACTTGAGTTTTCCCTCCCTGGCCCCTCGACTTCCCTAATTTCTATGGAAATCCGACTCTCACTGATGGTTTTCCTTGGCGCGATCTGAAGCCTTCCATTCCAGCATAAAGTTTCTGGAGATTTATTATTTCGTCCTCATCCTTCTCCAGTGCATTTCAGCCACAACCTGGGACAGGCAGGGTAGCCGTCGAGTTTTGCCCGAAGGGACAGGAGACATGAAAGATTCCGCCTGGGCTTTATCGCGCAAATAAGAAACTGGAAAGGAGCTCGAACAGAGCATGTCCACGAAACGAAAACCACCTTTGTGAAGGCCAATGGTAAACTGCTCCACAACAACAAATCTGATCGAGCCGTCTCCTAACCCAGGTCGCAGTTGAAAGGCAATGAGGCTCAACTGTCCTGGTTAGGCCACTGGTACCAGTGCTTGAAACAAGCACCATCCCTAGCAGTTGGTTCTGTGCTCGTAGGAACCTGTGAGACCGCCACTTATCCTCACTGAGCGATTTTTCTTCACTGACATCACTTGGAGCCGACCGCCATTGTTACAATCTTTGAAAGCGGCGCTTTTCCTCATGGAGCGTGCAGCCTTCGTCGCGCTGCTCCTGCTGACGTGTCTCGCAGTCTCACGTGTTAACTGCGTTCCGCTTGCCAAGTCCCAGGGTAAAAATAACGTTTCGTGCCTGCAGATGCTAGAGGAGAGAGGAGACAAGTGAAAATATTGGACTTGACTCGACTTGATCGTGAAATTACACCTCTATCTCTGCTTCTTTTCTGCATCGCCGCCTTTTGTTGCGCGCGCATGTGACGAGATCAGTCGAAGCATCAGAAGTTGTCCCTCCTCTCCTCGATTCCTGCATTCCTCCTCCTGCTGTAACGCATGACCTACTCTGCCTAATCTACGGCTAACTTCCTAAGTCAAACATCGAGAGACTTCCTCGATGAGAAATGACGTGAAGGAAATTGGGAAGGTTGAGTTGGAGAAGAACATTGCTTTGGTTTTCCCAACCCTCAACCTGGAGGCTTGGGACTTTCCAAACCAACAAATGTGAAGGTTGGGAAGTTTTCCAACCCAACCAAATGATTGTGCAAGGTTGGATTTCCAACCAATGGGAAGTTGACAGTTGTTGTTACAATCCACACAAAGTTTAAAACAAGAGAAATTATGTCAATGGTAACTTACATGGGAACTATAACGCGAACGGTAACGATTTCAGCGCGTTTGGTAACTCGCTTAACGCGTTTGGTAACTCGCTTAACACGTTTGGTAACTCGCTTAACGCATTTGGTAACTCTACACTAGCAGCCCATCACGCGAATGGTAACTACAAGAAATTCCCGCCGAAATTGAGCATGACTCTGGTTTTCCCACTCGCGTCATAATAAATTGACGAATCCTGAAGCAGAAACCTCTGACACACTCTCCGAAATTCTGACACAGCTTTCCGAAATTCTGACACACTTTCCGAAATCCTGACACACTATCTGATTTTCAAGCTAATTGCAAACAACTTCAGTTTTGTGAAAACAATTGTTGATACACAGTTGATATTCTGGCGCTCTATCCGCAAACTCTTTGTAATTTATTCTGTCGTACATCCGGGGCAAACAAATCCATACCCCTTTCAAATGGCAAATAAATTTGAGAGCAACAGCCTTAATTCCTTGCGACAGGGCGTTTATGGTTCTATATTTAAAAAATGAGATGCAATTTTCAAGAGTTTAGGGCTGCTAGTGTTGAGTTACCAAATGCGTTAAGCGAGATACCAAACGCGTTAAGCGAGTTACCAAACGTGTTGAAATCGTTACCGTACGCGTTATAGTGCCCCATGTAAGTTACCATTGACATATTTGCCCTAGTTCTTTTTGGTCTTCCATTTCCATTTGGGAAAATATGTGAATGGTAACTTACATGGGGCACTATAACGCGTACGGTAACGATTTCAACACGTTTGGTAACTCGCTTAATGCGTTTGGTAACTCGCTTAACGCATTTGGTAACTCAACACTAGCAGCCCTAAACTCTTGAAAATTGCATGTTTCATTTTTTAAATATAGAACCATAAACGCCCTGTCGCAAGGAATTAAGGCTGTTGCTCTCAAATTTATTTGCCATTTGAAAGGGGTATGGATTTGTTTGCCCCGGATGTACGACAGAATAAATTACAAAGAGTTTGCGGATAGAGCGCCAGAATATCAACTGTGTATCAACAATTGTTTTCACAAAACTGAAGTTTTTTGAAATTAGCTTGAAAATCGGATAGTGTGTCAGGATTTCGGAAAGTGTGTCAGGATTTCGGAAAGTTGTGTCAGAATTTCGGAGAGTGTGTCAGAGGTTTCTGCTTCAGGATTCGTCAATTTATTCTGACGCGAGTGGGAAAACCAGAATCAGGCTCAATTTCGGCGGGAATTTCTTGTAGTTACCATTCGCGTGATGGGCTGCTAGTGTAGAGTTACCAAATGCGTTAAGCGAGTTACCAAACGTGTTAAGCGAGTTACCAAACGCGTTAAGCGAGTTACCAAACGCGCTGAAATCGTTACCGTTCGCATTATAGTTCCCCATGTAAGTTACCATTGACATAATTTCCCTTAAAAAAACCATACAATTGTGCTAAGTTGGGTTTTTCCCAACCAAACTAAAGTGCCACATAGGCTCCAAGCCTATTAGCTCCCCAACCATGGAAGCCATGGTTGGGAAGAGCCCCAAGGGGTATGATGGAAGGGGTTGGAGCTTTCAAGCTCATTCCTACTTCCCAACTCTAACTTACCAACTTGGAAATGGGATCTCTCTAAGTTACTTTGGCTCTCCTAACAAGCCCTTCTACACAACTAGACTTGTGTTATTTTCAAGGATAAGCTCTACAAGAAGCTACTTATCTACCCAAGTTTCTTCAAGAGCTACAACTTCTCTTCTCAAGATAATTTAAGCTTAGGCTAAGGCTTGATTATCCCTTGGTGGGATTAATTAGATAATTTCAAGCATTGTAACTTTGATTTTATATAAATTGTCAAGGAGGATTTACATTGAACCCGCGGTGGCCTGTTGTTATAAGGGCCGTGGTTGTTACATTGGTATATAGAGCTAGGGTTATCATAAGCCTAGTGGGGATTTTGCCCCTAGAGATTTTTTTTTTATAGATCTTAGAGTTGTGGTTTCTCTTTAAAGAGAATACTCAAGATCTGGAAGCTTGAAGAGTTCAAGATCTACAATATCTACAACAACAATTTCAAGCTAAGAAGAGAGATTTTTATCTCTCTTGCCCACCTTTTGGTGGAAGACTCTCTACTGTTGAGTAGTGGAGTATAAACTTGGATCTGGAGGATTTGTTGAGGTTTATACAAGTTCTTTTCATTGAGATTTGGATAGACCCTGCCCTTTCACTTGGTGATTGGGAATGCTTGACAACAAATCTGTTACCTTTGGTGACATTGGATTATTCTGTAGAAAAAATTTCTTATATAAGAATTTCTTGCTTTACCATTAAGTTGGTAAAAGGTTTTTAACAGAATCAACCCAGATCTTACAAGCTCCCTTAATCTTTATGGCATCTAGCCAAGAGAAGGATATGGCAAGGGAGGACGGGCCCACTGCACCTAATGAGGTGGTGAACAATGCTACTGACATTGACCTCAATCAAGATGAGGCAATGGATGACATTGAGCTGGATGATATCGAGGACTTGGACCTGGACCTTGGAGATGAGCATCACCATGGTGAAGCTGAGAACCATGATGAAGCAGAGAACCATGGTGAAGCTGAGAACCATGGTGAAGCTGAGAACCATGGTGAAGCTGACAACCTTCGGGAAGAGGATAACACCGGTGGAAAGGAGGCCACTGGTGATGAAAATGACTTCACTGAGGGTGAAGGCATGACTTATCCTATTTCCGAGGAGATTGTCCAACTCCAGGCTAAGGTGGCAACTCAGAATATCACCATCATGCAGCAGCAGACGTCCATTGATGGACTCAAGAAGCACACTCGGAACATCGAGGCTAGGCTGAGCATTACCATGAAGGAGGTTACTGAGTTCCGTGGCAGCCTGGGCACTAAGAACCGTGAAATTGAGTGGCTTCAGAAGACTTGCAATAGTCTGCAAGTATCATTCAACAAGCTCAATGAGCAGGTGACCAAACTTAGGAGGGAGGGTATCTACGAACCTCCTCCTGGGCGTAGGCCTGCTCCTGCTGCTCAGTCGGCACCCGCTCCGCCCGCACCCCCAGCGGGAGGCGCTGCGACGGCTATGCATCAGCCACCTCCAACTGAGACCTCGCCCTTTGGGTCTCTCTCGGCGCCTCTGCCTGAGTTTAACCATCGCAAGACGGAGGTGCAGCCTTGGCTTGATCTGGTGAATGAAACCATGATCCTTGCGAATGTGCGTCCTGAGGCTCGCGTTACTGCAGCCACTCGTGCATTGGACGAGGTGGCCCGCAGGGCAGTGTATGACGCCAAGAAGCAGGCGCATGGACCATTTGGGTGGCCGGAGTTTTGCACCGCGCTAAAAGAGGCATTCATGGTCAAGAAGTCCGGCCTGGAACTGCGTGGACGCCTTGAGCATATCAAGTGTCATGACCGTCCGGTGCAGGAATATGCGGTCGAGTTGGAGGCCGCAGCACGCTCGCTCCAGAAGCCCTTGTCTGAGGAGGAGATGATGCACCTCTTTATGAAAGGCCTCCCTCTCAACCTGCAAGAGGCACACATGATCGGCGGCATGACCAATTGGACGACTTACAAGGAGCTGAAGGAGCAGGTGATCCAAACTGACACCGTCATTCGCACATATATCCATGGTCCTGCAAAGGCGGACCAGCAGCCCCGTGCTGAGGGCTCCGGTGGTCGTGGGAACCGGCCCCAGAACGCCAATGGCGAAGGCGGTTCGAACAAGCGACCTTTCCAGCAGCGTGAGCACCAGCCTGGACCATAGGCCAAGAGGGCTAACGGGGGGGGAGGTCATGGCCCTAACAAGCCGGACTTCTCCAAGATGCGGTGTCACGGCTGTGGATTTATTGGACACATCCAAAAGCAGTGCCGTAACAAGAACCCAATCAAGTACTCAGGGAAGCCGAAGCCAGGCGGCGCGGGACCTTCTGGAAAGAAGGATTTTCAGAAGCCCAACTAGGGTGTGGGTACCTAGTTGGAGGAGTAGATCGAGTGGATGAGGCATATGTGCTATGTGATGATGATCTATTAAAGCTAGAGAAGCTTGCTGATTGCAAAATCTCTTGTTTGTTTGCCTCTTCTTTTAATAAAAACTCTGTTTTTTACCCTCGATCGTACCCACTTGAGAACATCACCATGGCAGCAATGCAAGACAAGTTTTCAATCATTTTCAGTGGCTTGGACATTCTGCCTTCGGTCATTGAGATTGTGAGTCGTTGCACTCAAGAGCACCCCCTGACTTCGGTCGCGTTGGTGACTCACACAGTGAAAGGCGAATTGTTCCATGCGCTTCGTGGATGGCCGGTCCTAGCGGCGTGGGACAAGGGACACCATGTGTGGTGGACCAACTCTCAGTCACATGGACGCGCTCGTCACAACGTCAAGGTGTACTTCAAACCCTCGACGAGTATTGTGGCATGTCCTATTCGCCCAAAGCATCAACAAAATTTGTTGCTTGCAGGTAGCGTGAACGGGGAAAACACAAAAATCCTTGTTGACACGGGTGCAACTGTTTCCCTCTTTGACGAAAAGTGGGCTACAGCACGCACGATCCTCGTTGAAGGACCGTCTTGCCCCATTCGCCTTGGTGATGATAGCATTATCCCAAGCAAAGGGCAGACACGGATCAGCATGGATATTGAGGGTTATCACGAAGAAATTTGCGCGTATGTTTTACCCCTTCTCGCAGGCGTCGACCTTGTCCTTGGAATGGATTGGCTTCGAGCGAATGAAGTCAAGCTCGATTTCCAGGACAATACTGTCTCATTCTCAAAGAATGGTGACACAGTCCAATGGCAAGTGCCTAACGACTTGATCACAAACGAACAACAAACGTCGGAGCGTCCCGATGTGAGTATTGCGCTCGCAAACGAGTTCGGACAGCATGTTCGACAAGCCGATACCTTCTTTGTGGTACAGCTTGAGAATGCTGAACACGAGATGCCTGGGGTCGAGGATTTCTCGCCTCAGATGAGAGCACTGGCGGACGAGTTTGCAGAGGTTTTTGAGCCCATCCCAGATGGCCTTCCTCCAGACCGTGCTGCCGGTCACACCATCCCAGTGGAGCCTGGAAAGCTCCCACCGTTTAGACCTCTGTATCGCCTCAGTCCAGCTGAGTACGAGGAGGCTAAACAACAAATTGAGGAGTACCTCAGGAAGGGATGGATTGAACCAAGCGCATCACCTTACGGAGCGCCGATCTTGTTCGTGAACAAAAAGGGCGGAGGGTTACGCATGTGCGTAGACTACCGTGCTCTGAACAAGATAACGGTGAAGAACAGGTATCCCCTACCGAGAATAGAGGACCTGTTCGACAAACTCCAGGGTGCCCAGTGGTTCAGCGCATTGGACCTCGCACAAGGGTATCACCAATTGCGCATCACTGAAGAAGATGTACCCAAGACGGCTTTCCGATCGCCGTTTGGTCATTTTCAGTGGCGAGTGCTGAGCTTTGGCTTGACCAATGCTCCTGCATCTTTTCAAAAAGCTATGAATGATGTCTTTCGCGAGGCGATTGGACAGTTCGTTCTAGTCTATCTGGATGACATCTTGGTTTATTCCAAGACGGAAGAGGAGCACACGCGACACCTTAAATGGGTGTTAGGGAAATTCCGAGAGCATTTCTATGCTCGCCTATGGAAATGTCATTTCTACAAACGCGAGTTGGAATATCTTGGCCATCTCGTGGGAAATGATGGTCTCAAAGTAGACCCAAAGAAAGTTGTCGCAGTCCAAAACTGGCCGGTGCCACAAGATGTGGGTCAAATGAGGTCGTTTTTAGGACTGGCGAACTATTTTCGTCGATTTTTGCAGAATTATTCTACCGTTGTTGCTCCATTGACGGCCCTCACTCGCAAGAGTAGTGCTTGGCAATGGACACAACAATGCCAAAAGGCATTCGACGAGGTCAAGCGAATGCTGACCAATGCTCCGGTACTGGTTTTACCAGATCCGACAAAGCCCTATGAGGTTGTTACTGACGCCTCATTGATTGGGATTGGGGCGGTCCTCTTGCAAGAAGGGAGACCAGTGGCATTTGAGAGTCGAAAGCTCTCCCCGGCAGAGCAGCGCTATACGACGTCCGAACAAGAACTGTTGGCGGTCGTTCATGCGCTACGCATATGGCGATGTTATCTGGAGGGTGTGGACTTTGTGGTTACGACTGATCACTGTCCAAACACCTATTTCGCCACCCAAGCCACGCTTACTCGACGTCAAGCCCGATGGGCGGAACTCCTTAGTGGGTTCACCTTCGATATTCGATATCGAGCAGGTTCGACGAACCTGGCTGACCCCCTCAGCAGACAGCCGATAGGGGCAGCAGCATGGCTAGACGACACAGAAGATGCGGCAGCATTTTCTGCTTGCTTCAGTGTCCTAGCAACGGCTCGAGTGAGTGAGATTACCTTCAGTGGTTTTCTGAAACGCATCCGCACAGGGTATCAGATTGACCCCTGGTTTCAGAACTCACGAAACACGAAGGAACTCAAGTGGGAGCACGAGCTCTGGTGGCGTAAGAATGAGATTGTTGTACCTCACGTGGGTAACCTGCGGAATGATATTCTGGAAGAAATGCATGCCGCTAAGTACGGAGGACACCTAGGGGTCAAGAAGACGAGGTGGGCCTTGAGTGATGTGTACTGGTGGCCGGGATTGGGCACTGAGGTCCAACAATTCGTGGCGCGATGCGATGCATGCGCACGAAATAAAACGGACACAAAGAAGCCTGGTGGTTTGCTTCAACCACTCGAGATCCCGAATGAACCTTGGGAGAGCGTATCCTTGGATTTTATCACGGATCTTCCCAAGTCTCGCGATGGCCATACAGCGATCCTAGTGTTTGTGGATCGTCTGACAAAAATGGTGCATTTCGTGGCTACGACAACTGACGTATCTGCGGAAGATACGGCCAAATTGTTTGTGGCGCACGTTTTCCGCTTACACGGGTTACCACGTGTCTTGGTGTCCGACCGGGATCCGCGCTTCACAAGCCGGTTCTGGCAAGAAGTCACACGGACACTAGGGACGAAGCTCAAGATGTCATCGGCGTTCCCCCACAAACAGATGGGCAGACGGAACGAACAAACCGGACACTTGAACAGACGCTTCGTTCATTCATTGGCCCAACTCAGGATGATTGGGACGAGTTGTTGCCTGTCGCTGAATTCGCAGTGAACAATTCAGTTCATGAAGGTACACGTGAGAAACCTTTCATTCTGAACTATGGTCGGCATCCCACAACACCTGCTACGCATGGGATCAGTGGATTGAAAATTCCTGCCGCTCAAGACTTTGTTGGCAAGCAGCAAGAAGCGCTTAAGTCTGCTCGCCATTGGCTGCAACTCTCTCAGCAGCGACAAAAGTCTTACGCCGACATGAAACGCCGGGAAGTCTCATTTGAGGTTGGAGACAAAGTTTTGTTGAGCACGAAGAACATTCGTCTCAAAATCCCTGGAGCACGAAAGCTGTTCCCTCGATGGATTGGGCCATTTGAGGTGATCAAGCGTATTGGTGTGGTAGCCTACAAGCTTAAGCTACCTGATACACTACAGATTCACGACGTCTTCCACGTGTCTCTGTTGAACAAGTACGTTGCAGGGGGTAAGTACTTGCCGCCACCAACGATCGTCCTGGGGGAGGAACTATTTTATGAAGTCGAACGAGTGCTAATGCATCGTGATCGACAGCGCGGCCGCAAGACAGTACAAGAGTTCCTCATCAAGTGGAAAGGCTACGGGCCTAAACACAACTCATGGGAGCCAGAAGAGCATCTGACTGAAACTGCAGTTCAGTCATACATGGCAGATCTGGCCCGGCGAGCTGCCGCACAACCAGTGGATGGTGTTGAACCTGGTCGTAATGTGACACGGCGTGCTCGAAGTGCTCGTCCTCACAAGCACCCTAAGGCAACGGGGACGTTGCCACCTAGGGGGGGAGGAGTGTAACGCATGACCTACTCTGCCTAATCTACGGCTAACTTCCTAAGTCAAACATCGAGAGACTTCCTCGATGACAAATGACGTGAAGGAAATTGGGAAGGTTGAGTTGGAGAAGAACATTGCTTTGGTTTTCCCAACCCTCAACCTGGAGGCTTGGGACTTTCCAACCCAACAAATGTGAAGGTTGGGAAGTTTTCCAACCCAACCAAATGAATGTGCAAGGTTGGATTTCCAACCAATGGGAAGTTGACAGTTGTTGTTACAATCCACACAAAGTTTAAAACAACCATACAATTGTGCTAAGTTGGGTTTTCCCCAACCAAACTAAAGTGCCACATAGGCTCCAAGCCTATTAGCTCCCCAACCATGGAAGCCATGGTTGGGAAGAGCCCCAAGGGGTATGATGGAAGGGGTTGGAGCTTTCAAGCTCATTCCTACTTCCCAACTCCAACTTACCAACTTGGAAATGGGATCTCTCTAAGTTACTTTGGCTCTCCTAACAAGCCCTCCTACACAACTAGACTTGTGTTATTTTCAAGGATAAGCTCTACAAGAAGCTACTTATCTACCCAAGTTTCTTCAAGAGCTACAACTTCTCCTCTCAAGATCCTTTAAGCTTAGGCTAAGGCTTGATTATCCCTTGGTGGGATTAATTAGATAATTTCAAGCATTGTAACTTTGATTTTATATAAATTGTCAAGGAGGATTTACATTGAACCCGCGGTTGCCTGTTGTTATAAGGGCCGTGGTTGTTACATCTGCCGCCAGCGCAAGTGCTGCTGGACTGTCAGAAGGCGTGGAACACGACGATCGATGGCTGGGTGAT